ACAAACATAAACTCTAGTTCCTCCCATTTCACTGACGTTGTCTTATAAAAGGTATTTGAAAATACCTCAATGTTGTTGAAATTCTCCGATGTTGTTGACAGTATTCCCCAATCCCCAAGGCAACCATCGCAGCGGTGCTGCGCGTACAGCGGTACGGAAGCGCCAGCAAAGATAAAAACATGTGACGTCACGTCACCACTTCGAGGCTATATTGTTTGGCAAACAGTCAGCGGTTTGCCGCAGAATGCCAGTTTTCTCCACCTCTTTCTTGTGGCGTTTTAAGCAAACGCCGCAGTGAATATGGAGCAACTAGAGAGTTTATTTTTGCTCATAAGGTACCGTGGTGATTATGCATAGACACGAAGTCATTTGCCGTAGTCTAGTACTGAGAAATCAGCGTTTGGATGCGCATTGTAGCCTTTAAATGTTACGTTTATAACCGTAGCAACCGACCTCAGATGAGCCCAGACGCCCTGCGGCTCTTGTTTGTGTTGTAACGATTCCACGTACAGGAAAGCTCCTAGGAGAGACGGCAATGACATATTATAGATTCATTGAGTGCAGGTACAATATGTGTAGTTAATTCTCCCTTCCCCAAAAAGCCTAATATAAAAAATATTGTTCAGTATAGCAGTGCATACACTACCGTGGCCGGTCGCTATTGCTACCTAATATAATTCCATATAATTCGATACAATTTCATATGCTGAGTGTGTTTACATTGTGTTTACAGGAAACAAAGTCACACTCGAAACTAAGCCCAAGGAAATGGGGCTGGATCCACGAGATGAGTTGCTAAAGTTCCACACGCAGTGGTATTCTTCGAATATCATGTCCTTATCCATACTTGGAAGAGGTAAATGCGCTGCCTTGTGTTTCACATGTAGTGATCACACAGTTTCCGTTCACTTAAATTGACTACGTCACGAATTTTCTATGGTGTATATTTGTAAAAAAAATTGTTGCCATTTTTTTTATACATAAATGTAAGTACTAACGGGACTAAATGGATCGTCAAATTCTTACCTGATAAGATTTGTTCAACGAGTTAAAAATCCAAAAGACCTGGACGATTTGATATTATGATCCTGACCGTTAATTGCTTGCTATGGGCTTAGATACAATAATGTAACCCAAACCAGAGAGGATAGGGTTACAACGCGAGCCTATCCTTTGTGCGGAGCAGATGCACCCCGAGTGAATCACTCGGCAGGTTTGCTGGTGTATTTTCAGAGACTAGAACTTCCTAACTGGTTTATTCTAAACACGAACCTTTCTCCGCTATTCGGGAACTTACAATGGTATCGCAATACTTATGTATTAAACAATATAACCTGTTACAAAAATTCGAAGTGACCGACGGGCGATTTAGCTGAGCGGCCATTTCTGTTACCTGTGTGAAGTACTTCGGTTTGAAGAGCGGATCACCGACCAATCGGAGGGCGCTGAGTTTGCCGATCGCTATGCGCACTGGGAAATGCGTACGCTCACAGGTCAACAGAAATGGCGCTCAGTAAATTCGGCCGCTCGTCACTTCGAATTTTTGTAACAGGTTTTTAGTTTAATACAGGAGTATTGCGATACATAGTAAGTTCCCGAATAGCGGAGAAAAGGTTCGTGTGTTTAGAATAAAAACCCACTGTTGGAAGTTCTAGTCTCTGAAAAACACCAGCAAACCTGCCCGAGTGATTCACTCGTGCATTGCTTCCGCACAAAAAAAAGATAGGCTCGCGTTGTAACCCTATCCTCTCGGGTTTGGGGTTACATTATTGTATCTAGCTATGGGCTATGTATGAGTCACGAGTGCATGTGTACATCGAACAATATAGTAAAATAGGAAGTATAATTTTATAATCTTATACAGCAATTTAATCATAAAAAGTGAACAGAATTACTTACATTTTGTGAAAAAGTGGAAATATTTTTTTTAGTTTTACTATTTATGGTGACGTAATCACTTTAAGCATTATCGTGTTTGTTGATGTGTATCAACTCAGGACTGCTCATTTGAATCATAGTAATCATGAGACTTTAAAATGGAGGACTGATGCTGTGACAGTATATCATTGTAGACTATGTCACTGACTGTTCAATTTGAATATCTGCCCACTCTTATTTGGCATGTGGAGATTCGGCTTGCTAAAAATTGTGCGCTATGTAATGACGGATGTTCGCGATATTGGATGCGGTGAAGTACATGTTAAATTTGAATTGGAAAGGTCGCTCGGACCTGCTTGAATCCGATGGTGCCTCTGCGTGTTTCTAATGGCGCTGTCACACATATTGACGATTTAGCCAGCGTATGCCGGACGTATCAAAAATTGGTGAATACGCTGGCGTAACGTCGAATAAGTTAGGCGTAAGCTCTTGTATAAGTTAGAGCAACTCTGAAGCCACGCGGTATAAACACGTCGTAGTACGCGAGGTCGCCCCTCTAAGAAATTTTGGCCGATCTCAAAAATTTTCCGACGTATGCCAGCGTATACTTCATACGTCCCGCTATACGCGGGCCATAGTTGTAGGTAAGTTATGCGATCGTTGCACATGAATGACCGTTCACACACGTTACTTGTAAAGCTTAACTCATAAGTCGAAATACGTCGAGGTAATGTCTACGTACCCAAAACTTATTTCTAACCTATGATAACGGTTTTGAATCTAATGTGTAACTTATCTCCAAGCGCGATATTGACGTATGATAGACGTATTTGACGTGTTCATGGACCGACCACAGAAACTTAACTGAACGTGTTTCTAACTTACAGCTACCGTATAATGGCGTATTGCAGCGTTTAGGGAATGGTATATAAAATGTATTGGCATGTCATGCGAACGGTCGATGTTGATAGCTGCGATGTCTAGTGCGTTATGATTGAATTGTCGAGCAGCGGAGCCTTTTTATAGGCTCGACACCGTATCGTCAGCGATACGCGCCAGCCGCCTATCGCATACGTTAACTATCGTTGGGCATACGTTGTGAAGCCCGGCAACACGCTCCTAAGCATTTCGTTGGTATAAGTTTATCTATTGAATTATTGAAACGTTCTTATAAGTTTTAACTAATACGTCTATGTTACGGTCCAACTCGTTATGAATACCCGCTATGTAACGCCCAAAAATTGAAAAAAACATCGATAGTTTAGCGTATGCCAGCGTTTAGATAAATTTTGAGTACGTCCGGCATACGGCTGGCTAAATCGTCATGCTTGTGACAGCGCCATATACAGAGGTGAGTGAGCCTACCTATAGCTATCAACTTGCAGAAATCACTCGATGAACTGACGGAGATGGGCACACTATTTATGGGCATGGAAAAATAAGGACTTGACTGCTGCCCTGAATGCGAGCGACACCCGCTTGGACCCGACAACTGAGTAATAACATAAGGTAGTGTGATTATGCATGCCACGAAGTATTTGCTAGTCTAGTACTGGAGAAATTAGCGTTTGGATGCGCATTGTGAGCCTTTAAGTCGTGCGTAGTGACACCTTTGTTAGGCGCAGATATGCAGATACGCAGTTGCGTACACATCCTTTCAGCAACCTTCTGCATTCTGCGTACTTCCCAAACCCCATTGGTTGATACAAATAACGTGCCTGAAACTCCTGTTTTATGGTGCATTGTGACCCTAACCCTAACCTTAACCCTATTTAAAAAAATAATAATTTAATTGTAAAAATTATTTGTCGTTATTAAATTGTTGTAAATAAATCATGTAAATATTTGCGTTAAATGGAAAAAAATAGTTAAATGGATAAAGATAGAAAAATACAGAAAACAGGTAAATAATAAAAAAACTGATGGGATTCGATCCAAGGACCTTTGAGCTGTAATCCTATAGTGTACCCGTTGGGCTATCCAGACATATTGGCTTTCTAGATTATGGATGTGCCACAAATATGAGTACACTGACATCATTGAGGCAGTTCAAGAATCCATGTTTAACCCTCCTCTTGAGGGTCAAAAAGTTATCAGACACTTACTCTTCGCACGTCAGTGGAAAGCACATTTCATGGTCCTTTCAATAAACTGATAAAAATTGTAGGTCAGCGCTGAAACAAAAAAGTTTTCCACTTTGTCCATTAGGCCATGTCCTCAGAAAATGTCTGACCTCCAATTTCGCACTGGTGATGGGTTTCCTGCCCATCACACTATACACAGAATATTAAGAGCATAGGTCGAGCCGTTGAGATTTGTGCCGCAATTCCGTATTTCCTCCTATACCTTAAGTTAAAGGGGAAATATTCCCCCTACGTTTATACATCTTGACCTTTGACCCTTGACCCCCAAATTTGTCATCCCGAGTCCTTTTCACGATCCCCCCGACGTCCCAAATATCTTGACCGTACGTCGAACGGTTAAGATTTGTGCCCAACTGTTGACGGACGAACGGACGGCCGGACGCAATCACGGACAATTATGCGATTCTACAAGCTGCATCTGACTACGTCAGATGAGCTAAACATGCACAGCAGTGTGACAATGCCTGGTATGGGACATTTACTAAGGTAAGCCCAACATACAAATAATAATAATATTGGATGACTCTCTGTTTGAGGGGATATCAGAATATGTTAACGTCGATAGAACGATACATTCTGGTATTCTTCTCGGAATCATCTAGTATTATATGCATATTCGTACGTTTATGATTGAACACTATCAACTGTTCTCCTACAAATGATCTACTATATTTATTTTTTATGGCCTTTGAGAAAAATTTCTCCTCAAAAATCTTTTACCTGACATAACCCATGCCCAACTCTCTGTTGTCGTCATCATAGTAAACAAAACCACCCAAGCAAACCATTGTCATGGTCATTTTATTTTAGATCAGAATTATAATAAATGCACCATTTACACTGTAAAGTCGATACCAGATTCTAATTTTAACCCATACCTTCGATATGTCTCTAAACCAGATTGCCATTTCCACTGCAAATGTGGATCAACTTTAAAAATCAGATTTAAGAAAATTAGATTTAAACACGCCAGGTGAAACTTGGCACTAATAATAAAAATAGGAATAACAGAAATGAAATAAAAATAAAATATAAATGAGTAAACAATATTAAAGTAATTAAAATAATAGATATTACGGGGGGGGGGAAATTCCGCCACCCACAGACGGACGTAACGCGGCATTACCGGTGCCAAACTTTGAATAGTCGTGGCCGCGTTTAGAGGTGGCCTTCTCCAGCTGATAGAGGCGCCACGTGTCCGACTGCAGGTTCTTGTCGTTCTCTGAATTCACGGCATTCACCTCACGTTCGGTCGCGCTGGCGTTGAACAGAGGAGCGATGAAGAACTGTGAAAACCTGAATGGCGAACACAAATACGAGTCTAAGTAAGAATAAGATCTACGAGATGTAGCTACACTGTTCGACAGGGTGGTTTACCAAATATTATTGTATTGAAAGCACTAGGTTTAGGAGTATGAGCATCAGGAGAGATAATATGAGGACCGAAGGGACTTATGTTAAGCAGACACAGACCAGTTAGTCTTGCAGAATCGTCAGGCTATAAAACGCACAGCATAAAAGCCACAGTATGCGGTTGAACTCGCAGTTAAATACCTATCCACAGCACCACGGAGATGTTCTGGGGATACATCAAAGTAGTAATTCGTGTGTTCTGAACTTGTGTAGGCATTAGATGATCCACCATGCTCACTGATGTACTTGTGGTATTCATTTTCTGATGGATACTGCATATGAGACAAAAATCGTCATTCTAAATTACTGTTATAATCTCACTCAATGCAAACAATATGCCTGCTTGTTTCAAGGAAGCACACACAATATGTACAGGTCTTTATAATTGCATCAAATTATTTAAGGTTTGACAATCTGTCCTGAATTACCTTCTCTGTGCCTAGGAATAACATGTGTTCACAAAAATGTGCCAGTCCTGGTAGTTCTTTTGGGTCCTTCATATGCCCTGAAATTGTAATAAATAAAAATAATAACTATATGATTATCCCTATTAATATATTAATATTAATTATTATAATAATTAAATTATAATTATAACTATATATTATATTATATGTATATGTAGGGTTCCATGTACACCTATGTAGTTTTTTGCTACTGATACGACCAGGAGTACATAATAATAAATACTATTGATAGCTGATGTCACATGACATATTCTGGTGTACATGTATGCGTGCATACACGCATTTGTGTGTGCATGTGGGTGTGTGTATTCTTTATACGACCATGGAATAGCTGAAATTGCTGAATATTGCTGTAAATTAAAATTTCTCAAGGGTCATACATGGTCCACGACCCCCCCCCCCCACACACACACCTTATGATGATGGCATATCTGGCTAGAAACACAAAATCCTTTCAATACAACCAAGTAGTAAGGCTGTATATGTAATTTGGCCTATTACTTTTCCCAGTTCAGTGTGATACGTCGGGAGATGCCCAACTGTATGTAGGCACGTGATCGTAGGTTAGATATTGTTATTCTTCTTGCGTTGTGTTATTAATTGTTCAGCTTGTATCGTGCTTGCGGTGAAGCTTGAAGGAGATGTCAGGTAATGCTCTGTGTTTGATGCAGCGTCGTGGCGGAGGTAACATCAATGATCAAACACAACTCGATGAGTGAAGTTTTCCACGCATAGTAATTTTATTGTCGGCCACAGTACAATCGTGGCCGAGAGTCCAGATAAGTGGGTTACCAATACATATATTTCTTCCCGTCTGTCCGTCCGTCAGTCTCTGAGTCCGTCAGTCAGTCTTTCAGTCCGTCTGTCTTTCCTTTCAACCTCGTCGGTATGCGTGCGTACACAGCGAGAGAACGACACAACCAACGACCAACCCTTTCCTCTTCCGAGGTGTGTCGTATATATACAACTGCTGGGTGACGTCATCTTATTTCCTGCATGTGCAAGACCATTCAGTCTGCACGTGCTTAGGCTGTCACCAAGGTGTCGGGTTAACCGTATAATATTGAAATGGACTTTACCAAATCACGTTCTACTCACGTGTAGATTTCACATGCGCACTTCCTGTATTCTAAGAGCTTCCACCCCGGTGTTCTTCCCAACAAACATCCGAAGCGTTATCCGGGGTGTTGGCTCATTATACTTTACCATTTTAGTTTTCTGTAATTCTGTAATTACCTACTCTACATATTAACGCAGCCCTGTTACATATTAACTGGGCTCTGTTACATATATATGTAAATGTGAAATAACCAAACAGAGACAAAATAGAATCGACCAATGCATCTGGCATGATTAACAGGCGGCTCTGGCTGATCGACATTATGTATGACTGGGTGTTTTCTATAAATGATGCTTAGCAACAAAGTGCTAAGAAATCAAAAATTTGGCAACACTGGGTGAGCTTGGGTGACACACCAATAATATCTGTAGAGGCTGTAGTTATTTTGTTCAGACAAATAGGACCATTGGTAAAAAAACATGCAATGTGCTGTACGTAGTGGCTAGCGCGAGTGTGGTGTAGTGGCATGAAAATAATGAGAAGTATAGAATATCGACAAAAATTGAAAACAAAGTCGGTAAACTCACCAATATGCACATCGATCGCAGCAGCAGATTTATCAGTCTTCTCATCACTTACGAGCAATACTTTTAATCCATTGTTTAGTTCCAAGCCCCTGTATACCCTCTTATCTTCGGCTCCCTTTATGACATCATTGACTCTCATTCGCTCTCTGGCTGCCATCGTGTATGTGGACCTATACCTAGACACAAGAAAAGAGCTTCCACTGAGGAATTGTGTCAGTAGAACCCATCAAAAATCTGTTCCTGTACACTACATTAGATACAGATAGAATGTAACTTATTGGTACATTTTAACACTGACAACTGATAATGGGCTTGCATGTTGTTTGAACGTAGATATGTGTTCCGGACCCGGTTCCACAGTCGTGGATTAACTTTAACCCTGAGTTAAGGTTAACTCTGAGTTAAACTCACTAACTCTGAGTTAGTAAACTCGAGTTAAATTTGGGTTTCATAAACATGGATTAAATCCTGAGTTAAGTAACTCAAAGTTAGTATCCCATAATTTCCAATAATAATAACAATAGAACAGATGCCAGCAGCAGACGAACAAGCTAAACGCAGCAATGGCAGGTATGAAGAAGCGATCACCAAATTTTTCTAGTGCAGAAAAGGCACTGCTAGTGGAACTTTATGAGTTTAACAAGAGTGTGCTGACATCGAAGCTAACAAACGATATTACGAACAAGTGCAAAAACAGTATATGGACAGAAATCGCGGAGAAAATAAGCAGTATTGGAGTGTGCGAGCGATCGGCAGAGGACGTAAAGTTTAAGTGGAAGAATTTGTGTTTCGGCGAAAAAAGAAAATGCGATGAAAAAGAAAGATTTGAAAAAAACAGGAGGTGGGCCGGTCAAGACAGAGATCAACCTAATAACAGACAAAATAATTCAGATAAACGAGGAGCGAGAATCGTGGAGCGGGAGTCCGGGAGCGGATACGCTGGATTCATTCGCTACTTCAAGTTCAACATCGGGTAGGCATATTACTAATACTAGTAAATTACTAGTATAATTACTACGATTAGTGGGAGTAATTCTACTACTGCTAAGTAGAAATATCATTAGAA